TCAAACAACTCAAGAGCTGTGAAAGGAAGATTCAAGAACTCAGAAACTCCATCAGAAGAACAAACCTGAGAATCATGGGTATTGAAAAAGGAGAAGAGGTGCAAGCCAAAAGGATATGTAACATATTCAATAAAATAGTAACAGAAAATTTCCCAAATCTCGAGAAAGTTTTGCCCATTCAGGTACAGGAAGCCTCCAGGATACCAAACAGACTTAACTGCAATGGAACCTCCCCATGGCATATTATCATAAAACAACAAGCACAGAGAACAGAGAAAGAATATTGAAGACTATAAGAGAGAAAAAACAAATAATGCATAAAGGTAAACCCATCAAAATAACAGCAGATTTCTCAACAGATACCTTAAAAGCAAGAAGGACTTGGAGTGAGGCATTTCGGGCACTGAATGAAAATAATTTCAGCCCTAGGACACTCTACCCAGCAAAACTATCATTCAAAATAGATGGAACAATAAAAATCTTACACAATAAACAGAAATTAAAACAATATATTACCATCAAGCCACCAATACAAAAGATTCTACAAAGAATTCTGTACACAGAAGATTAAAGCAAACAAAACCATGAGAGGACAGGAAGTATCAAACCACAGAAGAAAAGACAAGGAATCAGAGAGTAGCAATGATTCAGCTGCACACAATCAAATCCTTAAACAACATGAACAACTAAATGGCAGGAATCACCATATACTTATCAATATTAACCCTGAATGTCAATGGACCCAACTCCCCCATCAAAAGACACTGGCAAACTGCATTAAAAAGAAGATCCAACAATCTGTTGTTTACAAGAGACCCATTTTATTGACATAAACAAACACTGACTTAGAGTGAATGCTGGAAAATGATTTACCAAGTCAATGTCCCCTGAAAATAGGCAGGCATAGCAATGCTTATATCAGACAAAGTAGACTTTAAACCTACATTGGTCAAATAAAATAAAGAAGGGCACGTATAATAAAAAAGGGGAATACACCAAAAGGAAATAACAATTATCGACCTATATGCACCAACATCAGTGCACCTAATTTCATCAATCATACACTAAAGGACCTAAAAGCACATGTAGACAGCGGCACAGTGAGAGTGGGAGACGTTAATACCCTCTATCAGCAATAGCTAGGTCACCCAAACAAAAACTCAACAAAGAAATCCTAGAACTAAGTGACACCATAGATCAAAGGGACCTACAGAATATTTCATCCGACAACAGCACAATATACATTCTTCTCAGCAGCCCATGGAACCTTCTCCAACATAGATCATGTATTAGAGCACAAAGCAAGCCTCAGCAAATATATGATAATAGAAATAACCCCCTGCATTCTGTCTGATCACAATGCAATAAAACTGTAACTCAAGAACAAAAACAACAGCAGAAAATACATGGATAATTGGAGGCTGAAGAACACATTGCTCAAGGATCAGTGGGTCATAGAAGAAATAAGAGAGGAAATCAAAAGGTTTCTGGAAGTTAATGAAAATGAAAATACCAACTACCAGAACCTATGGGACACAGCAAAGGCAGTCCTAAGAGGGAAGTTTATAGCCATGAGTGCATATATTAAAAGGACAAAAAGATCACAAATAAATGACCTAATGCTACATCTCAAACTCCTAGAAAAATAAGAATAAGCAAAACCCAACACAAGCAGAAGGAGAGAAATAATAAAAAAAAAGGGAGGGGGGCAAAATTATTGAAACAGAGAACAAAATAATCATACAAAGGATCAATGAAACAAAAAGCTTGTTCTTTGAAAAAATAAACAAGATTGACAAGCCTCTGGCAAATCAGACTACAACGAGGAAGGAAAAAGACCCAAATTAGTATAATCAGAAACAAAAGAGGGAAGATAACAACAAATGCCAAGGAAATCCAGGGAACTATCAGAGACTACTTTGAGAACTTATGACCATCCAAAACTGAACCAAGAGGTTATTAACCACCTAAACAGATCTATAACATAAAATGAAATTGAAGCAGTAATAAAGAGACTCCCAAAAGAGAAAAGTCCAGGACCTGACAGATTCTCTGCTGAATTCTACCAGACCTTTAAAGAACTAACACCAATACTCCTTAAATTTTTCCATGCAGTAGAAAGGAAAGGAACACTGCCTAACTCATTCTGTCTTGCCAGTATTTCACTCATCCTAAAACTGGACGAGGAAACATCCAAAAAAGGAGAATTACAGGTCACTCTCCTTAATGAGCATTGATGCAGAAATCCTCAATAAAATAATGGCAAGCTGAATCCAACACCATATCAGAAAGATCATTCACCACAACCAAGTCAGCTTCATCCCAGGGATGCAGGGGTGGTTCAACATAAGCAAATCTATAAATGTAATACAGCACATCAATAGAAACAATGACAAAAACCACATGATCATCTCAATAGATGCAGAAAAAGCCTTTGATAAGATTTAACACTACTTCATGATAAAAGCTCTAAGAAAAGCAAGGAATAGACAGAATGTATCTCAACATTATAAAGACTATGTATGACAAATCTGTACGTGACATCACACTTAATAGGGAAAAACTGAAACCATTTCCCTTAAAGTCAAGAGCATGACAAGGGTGCCCACTATCCCCACTCCTATTCAACATAGTCCTGGAATTCCTAGCCAGAGAAATACAGCAAGAAGAATAAATAGAAGAAATTCAATTATGTAAAGAAACACTCAAAGTGTCCCTATTTTATGACAACATGATCCTATAACTAAAAACCAAAAAAAAACCTCTACCCCAAAATTCCCAGACACCATAAACAGCTTCAGTAATGTAACAGGATACAAAATCAACTTACAAAAATCAATAGCCTTTTCATACATCAACAATGAACAAATTGAGAAAGAATATAAGAAAACAATTCCATTTATGATATAGCCTCAAAAAAAATCAAATACCTAGAAATAAGCATAACAAAGGATTCAAATGACCTCTACAAGGAGAACTACAAACTATCAAAGAAAGAGATCAAAGAATACTACAGAAGGTGGAGAGATCCCCCATGTTCATGGATTGGCAGAATTAAAATAGTAAAAATGGTTATACTACCAAAAGCAATCTACATGTTCAATACAATTCCCATCAAAATCCCAATGGCATTCATCACAGAGATTGAAAAAACTACCCAAAGTTCATTTAGAAACACAAAAGACTGCGAATAATCAAGGCAATACTGAACAAAAAAAGCAATGCTGGAGGTATCACAATACCCAAATTCAAACTATACTACAGAGCCACAGCAATAAAAACAGCATGGTACTGCACAAAAACATATATGAAGACCAGTGGAACAGAAGACCTGGGTATGAACCCACACAGCTATGCCCACCTTATTTTTGACCAAGTCACCCAAAACATATGATGGAGAAAAGACAGTCTCTTAAACAAATGTTGCTGGGAAAGTGGCTATCTGCCTGCAGAAAACTGAAACTAGATCTATGCCTATCACCCTATACTAGTATCAACTCAAAGTGGATTAAGGACTTTAATATCAGAACCAAACCTTGCAGTTAGTACAGGAAAGAACAGGGAATACTCTGGAAGCAATAGGTATAGGCAACCACTTCCTCAGTAGAATTCAAGCAGCCCAGCAACTAAGAGAAAAGATGGGACAAATGGGACTATGTGAAATTAAAAAGCTTCTGCACAACAAAAGAAATTGTCTCTAAATTGACGATTGACCACAGAGTGAGAGAAAATCTTTGCTAGCTATACATCAGACAAAGGACTGATAACCAGAATACACAGGGGAGTTCAAAAATCTAAACTCCCCCAAAATCAATCAACCAATAAAGTAGGCAACTGAACTAAACAGAACTTTTTCAAAGGAAGAAATCCAAAGTGTCAAAAAACATTAAAAATGCTCACCATCCATGGTCATAAAGGAAATGCAAATCAAAACCACACTAAGATTTCATCTAACTCCTGTTAGCTAGCATCAAGAATACCATCATCAACAAATGTTGGAGAGGATCTGGGGGAAAAGGAACCCTTATACACTGCTGGTAGGAATGGTAGCCAGTACAACCACTTTGGAAAACAATATGGAAGCTTCTTAAAATCTAAACATAGATCTGCCATATGATCCAGCAATCCCACTCCTAGGGATATACCTGAAAGAATGCAGCTCTGGTTATTACAAAGGGACCTGCACACCCATGTTTATTGCAGCACTATTTGCAATAGCCAAGCTGCTCCACCATTGTCAAATGGATTAAGAAAATGTGGTATTTATACATAATGGAAAGTTATTCAGTCACAAAGAATAATAAAATTTTGTAATTCGTAAGTAAATGGATAGAACTGGAGAACATCATCTTAAGCGAAGTTAGCCAGACTCAGAAGGTCAAAAATTGCATGTTCTCCCTCATATGTGGATTACAGACGTAAAACAAATGCAGTAATATTTTTGGACATGGGTCACACACTAAGGGGAGAATGTACAGGAGGAATAGAGAAAGGGAGGGAAACCTAAAACTTGAATGTGGCTGATGTGCTCACTGTAGAGGAGAGAAAACAATAATCTTAAACTGGCTGAGGCCACTGTGGGAAGGGGACGAGGAAGTTGTGAAGAGGTCTGGTAGAGATGAACCAGTGTGGGTTGCAATACACAGGTACATGGAAGCAACACTAGGAATCTCTCTGTATAGCTATCTTTATCTCAAACTATCAAAAACACTATGTCTTTCTTATTATCTCTTATGTTTTCTCTTCAACAAAATCGGAGAACAAGATGTCGGAACAGGTTCTACCTGGAAGGGGGTGAACAGCAGTGGGGTGGGGGGGTGGAGGGGGGTGGGGGAGGAGATGACCCAAATAATGTATACACATGTGAGTAAATGTAAAAGTGATAAAATAAAAAATAAAATACTACGCAAGCATTTAATTATTAAGTGTGAGTATGAATGTGAAATAACACCATTTTGATTTTTTACGTAGGTATAATAAGCAGCTCAGCGATGACTTACAAGATGTCCTTTGGTACTGCATCACCTTAGATCCATAGTACTTTCCATTGTAAACATAGACCTACATTTCAGTAACAAAAAAGAAAGCAATTGGTTTTCCAATGAATATGTCATCAAATAAACATCCATGATTTCCCATACAATGTGGCTTATTTTCATTAAAAATATGCTGATTTGATTTAATTTGAAGTAGAAACTTCCAGGTTATATCAATATATCATTTGTTGTCCAACATTTTTTAAAAGACTGCCAAAAGATATAAAGAAATCTTAGTCTACTTTTAGCAAAGATACCAGTGACAGTTGCAATCAGGAAGAATAAGTAAAAATGACTGGAAAAGCAAAATGAATACCATCAAAAAGGCTCATAAGTAAAGGTTAAAATTCCTTATTAATATGCTAATATGGTCACATCTCATTTAAAACAAGGAAGTCCAGCCGTCTGCTATTAATAAGAACTGCACATAAATGCACATAATTCTAAGGAAAATAGCAAAGTTTACAAACCAGCCATAACTAGAATAAACACTTATGTCTCATAACATTTAATACAAATAAAGAAAATGAAGCAACGAGAATCTTGGCACAAAATAAGCTATGCAAAATAGATTCAAATGATATCATTGAAAGAGATTAATGACGAATGTGCTCAGTCTGACAAATGCATATCTAGGCTTTGACTTGGCTGGAGGTTATGATGTGATTTTTCCAGTGTTCACAGAATTTATCATACACTGAGCTTTAAAAATTCTATAAATTCCAAAAATCAGATAGTGTAAAAGACAACTATCTATTATAAACTAGTAATTAGTGGTAACAAAAAATTCAAGGAATGGGGAATATAGAAACACTTTTCCTTTTTTTCTGGCACTACTGAGGTTGAACTTAAGGCCTTGCGCTTCTGAGCAGGTACCCCCTAGACCTTTTTTGCTTGAGTTATTTTTGGGGGAAGAAACGCGCTTTTTGCCCAAGCTGTTCTTGAACCTCAATCCTTGAACTATGCCTCCCGCACAGCTGGGATTACAGCTGTAAGATGTTGAAAGGGGATTTTTCTAACTTTCTACCTAGGTTGCCCTGGAGCTGTGATCTTCCCTACCTCCACCTCCTGAGTACTCACTTGTCTTCTTAAAAAATACAAATGATTATTTATATATATGAACACTTCTTTAAATGACAAAGGATATAAAACCAATTATGAATACCATATTAAATAGCTAACTATAGAAATTTCCATTAAGTATAAACAAGAGTGATTTATTTATCTGTATAAAAAAAGAAAAGAAAATTGCAAATACTTTAAACGCTATAAAAAATGAAAAGATAGCCAGGAACAGGAGTTCACACCTGTAATCCTAGTTACTCAGGAGGCAGAGATCAGTAGGATCATGGTTTGAAGCCAGACCAGGCAAATAGTTCAGGAGACCCTATCTCAAAAAACCCTTCACAAAAAAGGGATGGTGGAGTGGTGCAAAGTGTAGGCTCTGAGTTCCAGCCCGAGTACAGCAAAATAAACAAATAAATAAAAGATAAACCATAAACTGAAACAAAGTTAGCAACATGTTAGACCTATGGCTTAAAATCATTAATATAAAAAAGAGCTTACCCAAACAAAACTATACAAAAGAGGCAAAGAACATATTCACATGAAAACAACAAAGCTATATTTATTCTCTACAGAAAGCAAAGAATTATTAAAACAAGAAAAGAAACCAATATTACGAACTCTCTACTAAATGGCAAAGGAAAACATGGACATTTTTTGTGAGAATGTCAAGAAGCAGTCATTTCATTCGCCAGTTTGAAAAAAGATGTTGCTAGGTGACCAAAAAATACCCTAAAATACATGTAAAACCCTTTGAACCAACAAATCCATTCCTCGATATTTATCAAACAGAAATAATTAAAGACATTCAAAGATTTTGCTATTTTCCAATCAGTGTGTTTACTGAATGATGTTTATATTAGAGATCAAAAAAGTTCAAGTTAGTAGAAGATGATAAAACCATATGATAGAATCCCATGCAACTATGGACATGACAGTAACATATTCAACATGGAAAGATGTGCTGGTACACTGATATATGAAAAGCACAGTTTACCAAGCTGTATTCAAAATGTTGATAAAAAGCTGGGCGCCAGTGGCTCATGCTTGTAATCCTAGCTCCTGGGAGGATGCGACTGAGAGGATCATGAATCAAGGCCAGTCTGGACAAACAGTTTGCAAGACCCCATCTCCAGAAATGACCAGAACAAAATGGACTGGAGGTGTGGCTCAAGCAGTAGAGTGCCTGCTTTGCAAGTGCAAAGCCATCAGATGTAAACCTAGGCTCACTGAAAAATGTTGTTAATAAATTTGCTAAATGAGCATAAATATAAACTTCACACTATAAAATTATTTACATAAAATATGGTTCATAGACAGCGAAATTATGGATATTTTAAAATTGTACTCACTTCATGTTCAAATGTTTTCTAACATTTGTTTCTCATGTTTCCTAGCCTCAAGGTATGTGTAAAATTTTCTTAGTTGAGAAGTTCACATAATAAAAATTAAATACAAGGTAAAGTAAAGATTTGGCTAAGTAATATCTATTGCTCAGTAAATATTGTGCATCTTGAAACAGGAGCAATACCATCCCATAAATAAATCATTTTGAAATTGTAAAATATTTTAACAAAACATTTACTTTAAACCATGGCTTTTAGTCCCAGGTATAAAATACTTGATAGCAAAGTTTTGAAGCCTTTATACTGTGATTCTGTGAAACATCAAAACCTCATGTGAGAACTGATCTTAATGCTATTTGAGTACATAATCCTAATCATTATGGTGTTTGGAGCTATAGTGATTACAGAAAGCATGACCTACCCAAATCTCATAGTCTGTTAAATAGTGAAGATCTTCTACAAGGAATCTGCATGATTTATTAGATTGATTCCTGCATAGCACACCTCCACTCTTGACTTCCAAATGGTAGGTACTCTCAGGACCATTAATCCTCTTTGGAGGCTTACAAGAGACATTTATACTATTGTCTGACTTCCTGTAGACCATCAGTTCCTGGACCTCAGTTGGAGCTATCACAACAAAGAAACATTAGTTAATCATTTTATATATGCATATTTAAAATTAACTTGGCAATATATGTACAGAATAAAATATTTTAAGTGTGAGTTTGGGGATATAAAGGAACATAAATTTAAAAAGCTATACCATAACATTTAAAAATAAATCATCTATTGACTAAGTATTAGCCTAAGTTGCACTTGAAGTTGTGAGCATTCATGTAACCCTTGAAGGAGAGTGTGAACAACTGGAGAACAGTGAAAAGCAGGAGGACAAACGATAACTGAGAAACCTCCAAGGCCTACCATGTAACACAGAGACCCCCCTTCCCTTTGCCTGAGTGCTTGTTATCCTGAGAAATGTCTGCTAGGATTCTTCAGGAGCAAGCAACAAACTGTCTTCATTTTCTTTGACATTACAGAAATTCAGGAAGGCAACAAGAGCATAAAGCTCCACGACTTGGACCTTTTAAGACAGACGCTAAGTGATATGGAGAACATCTTAACTTTGAATAAGAAACCTTTACTCCCGGAGCTTGGTACATGATCCCATCTCTAAAGCTGCCCATGTTCCCTGACTCAGGACTAGTTTCTCTTCCTTATGTTTAATGGAGGTTAGGGTTACCTCTGAGGCAGATCTAGCTGTGGGCCTGGAACTGTGTAGACTTAATACAAAAGGCAAGAGTCAGACACTACTGAAACCTCCAATGGGAAATGTGACACAAAATAGGTAGTTCAGAGAAAAGAAGGTGAATATTTTGGTGATGTACTTCCTTTACAAGAATGAATACAGAATTTTTGAACCTGCTGAAATCACCATAAGAAGGTGACTAAGGTAGAAAGGAGCAATGGAAGGGATGAACCAATTTGGGATACAATACATATATACATGGAAATGTCATAAAGAAACTCTTTCTAAATATACCTTAAACAAACAAAAATGTCTTTTTTTCAAAAATGGAGGACAGGAAGGTAAAATAGATTCTTTATAGGGGTTGGTCCCAGTGGGAGGGTAGAAGGCATAAGAAAAAGATGAAGGAGGGTGAGTATGGTGGAAATACTGTGTATTCATGTATGCAAATGGAACAATGAGACCTGCTGAAACTGTTCTAAGGTTAATTGGAAGCACTTTTGTCAATGTCAAAATGTACTCCATGTACAACAATATGCTAATTAAAAAGAAAGAAAACAAAAAACCCCTAGATATTTCATCAGACAATGGAGGTTCAGTTAATGCTTTGCAAGACATTGTTAAGTGTCTCATTCGATATTGATAGACAGTAAAGATAACAACAGACAATGCATTTTTTATTTAAGTTGGTTAGGGACTTAATTGTCGGAAATCTTACCAAGAGTACCTATTAATACACCCTCACTTTTTGTTCTATCACTATCTGCAGAATATAGAGAACCCAGGATACCAATTTTTAAGTTATTTTGTTTAAAGTTATTATAACCCCTACATATAAGAAATGTGCCCAATCAACATGTATCTCAGATGAAGCTTTAAGGATGGATGTATTGGATAGGCCAAGTAGTTCGTGCTGGGCTCCCTGCTGTTCATGGAAAGAAGCATGAATGAAATCATAGGACTTACGGGCTTCTTTAGTTTGAATGCTACAACTCACAGCGTTTCCATTACGCTTTACTTTTCCATTGTTATAGGCATATAGTGATATATGATAGATAGTAAAGGGGAGAAGATCACGCAACACCTCTGTGCTTGTGTTCTTTTTCAGATCTTTGCAGCTTTTTTCTAGGGAATAAAGAGTAGAAAAATTTAGTAAGTCATCAAATGTCAGGATAACATATATGTAATTTGATCTCTGCATGGTATTATTCCAAGAAAACTCCAAACTATGAGTGACTAAGAGATGAGCATGCCCTCAATAGTCAGAGTACCTATGAATACCAGAAAGTGCATTGAATAAATTCAGTTATTAATCTCAAATATTCAAAAATTATGGTTTCATATCATTAATTTGGTATATAAAATATTTAATAAATTGAGACACATTTGTGGAGGTGGTTTCTATTCTTGGTGAGACAACACTGACCCCAGTGGCACTATAAAAGTCTTAGGATATGGTTTTTAGAAAGATTTTTTTTTGAAAGATTGTTTTTTATCAGACCTTTTCTGATACTGAACCTCCAATTTTTGAGCATCAATCTTTGTGCACTAGTTATGGAACCCTGGGGAAGAAGCCTTTTAATCACCAATAACTAGGTCTACTCCACTAGCTAATTCATGGGGCCCAGGAGACTGAGAGGAGGCTTCACCTTAACCCTGGGATCTGAGCTGTTCATTAAATGAGGAGTGAAATTGAATAGGCTAAGGTAGGAAAGAAGAGGTTAGAAGACAAAGAAGGAATGCTTTGAGTTTAGGGACAAACCTGACTAAAGAAGCAGATTCTGACTAAGGTGTATATGAGAGGTAGGACCTTACTTAACTGTATCTTAATATTCAGGAAAAAGACTTAGGATTTGTTAAGTAAAAAATCACTAAGCACTGACAATAATGGTAGACAAGTGATGTAAGAAAAGATGGGACACACCTAAAAAAAACTCCCCTACAAACCAGTATCACTTTCTGGCATCTGGTACAATATGCTTATTTAATGGACAAAAAAAATTGTACACATTAAAAAAAAAAGATGGGACAAAAGAATATCAGAGAGATAGCAGGTTACTAGACAATCATCCAGTGATAATAATAATACTATCACCAACAAAAGTAATCAATAGCTCAAAACTGCAAGCAATGTTTTTAGGGGTGTGCATGAATTAATTGGTTGTAACCATCACCACACCCTTATCAGTTAACACTCTTGGTGTCATCTGATTTTATAGATAAGAAAACTAAGCTACAGAGAGATCAAACAATCTGTCCCTGACCTCAGAGGAAAAGAAGAATGAAGCCAGGACAGAATCAAGCATTGATGTTTCATCGTGTTTCCATCTGTACCATTAACACGCTGTCTGGGGTAGAGGATGATGGACAAGCCCCTGCAGCAGGGCAAAGCTTTATCAGGGTCTTGAGACCTCACTTCTCTGATGCACCTGGATGTGACTTCGACTTGTGGGAATGGTGTCAGGAAAGATCACATGGTCGTTTCTTGTCTCAGGTACTTATATGTAAGGTGGAGACGATAGGAATAGCTCTACATCACCATAGGGTTCTAAATAGTAAGTGTGACCAAGTAGCTGCTCTAGCCTGATTAAAAGTGTCTATTTCTCAGAAAACCCCAAAGCTGGGGATAATTGATTTATAACTTACAGCTCATTTCTGCCCTACTCCTAGTGAGAATTCTCTTTGAAGACAGGACAGGTGGAGCTCAAGAAAGGGCAGGCAGAACCCTCTAATCCATGGCCACCTCTTTATATAGAGTCTGGCTTCTAGAACAAGGCCTAACATTTTGGGGATAAAAACCCCCAAATCAAGGTGCTTATTTCAAGATCAACCTGGCTTCCATTTAGGTACCTAACTTTATGCGTTTGCACATGTAATCTCACAAGCACTCTATATCAAAACAAATTTCATTGATACAGTTCTATGAAGCTTTTATCTTACCCAATCTGATATAAATCAAATTGTTGATTTTATTTTTGAATAATGCATTTAATCAAAGATATTTCTGATTTGGGGATTTTTTTTTAAAAGTAATTAATTATTGTTTACAGTGCTTCAAAAGTTGATTTGGAACGCTCACTTCGGATGAGTAAAGACTTGAAGATTTGGTTGGAAGGCCATGTGTTAATCTTGGTTTTCAACTTGACTGGGTTGAAATACACCTAGGAAATTGATAAAGCACACTTGTGTGTGTGTCTGCTAGGGTGTTTCCAGAGATGACTGGCCATCAAACTGAGGGGGGCAGATCTGTCCTGAATGTGAGCAGAACTGTCCAATAGGTTGGGGGTCCAGTTGGAATAAAAAGTGGAAGGAAGGGGGACTCCTCTCACATGCACAGAGGCTCAACTCTTCTTGAGTGGGTGTAGTTTTTACTATTGCCATTACCTGTAGATATTAGACCCAGCCTTTTCAGCCTTTGAACACAGATTTGTACCAGTGACTTTCCAGGAAGCTTCCAGGCCTTGAGCCTTGGACTGGGCCTGCATCATTGGTCCCCCCTAGTTCTGAAGTTTTCAGCTTCTTGAACTAAAAAGTTACTGGTTTTTCCCTGGCTCTCTACCCTGCAGATACCCGGCACAGGACTGTGAATCCTCTGACCATGTTAGACTATTCAGTAATTATATACATTCTAACTGGTTCTGTTAAACTCAGATAGACTTGAGCTTTTTGCCTAGGCTGGCCTCAAACCATGATACTTCTATCACTACCTCCCAAACAGCAGGGATGACAGGCATAAGTCACTGCCCAGCCCAAGTGTAGCTGATTTTGGCTGATATCAGAGAGAATGGATTTTGGGCTCCAAATGGCCCTTTAGGCAGAATCTGTGCATGTCCTGGAATGGAGGCTGGATTCAGGTACCAGTATACATTTTGGAGAAAAGGATAGTGATGATATTGTTCAATTTCTACTTCTCTCTCATTTTGTAGTACAGCTTTTGGGAAGCCATATATTTGAGTAACATCAAATAAGAAGGAGCTGTATTAACTATACACAACCTCTTCACGCTGCACACTGCTAATAAGTTAATCATTATATCTGCTTCCCCTAATTATGCAAACATCGTACCAATACAGTTTTAAAAAACCACTTAGAATACAAAACTGCAGTATTCAACTAAATTCCCACCATATATTGTGGCATAGAAATGACACTATTGTAGTGCATGTGTACAAACAGAAATGCAGCAAGAGAGGGTGACAGAAGATTATGAAAAGGGAAAAGAAAACCAAATAATGATCCTACAGAAGCCAGGCAAAGAGATTTTGTAAAAGAGATTTCTAGTGGGGCAAAGGGGATCAGTTGTCTTGCTGTTTTATCATCCTGGAATTTCCATTTTTCCTGATTTATAAGCCTAACTTTTGAAATTCTCAGAATCTCAAATACATTGTTTACTTTTTTGTTTGTTTTTGAGGCCCAGGTTCACCTCCAACTCCCAATCCTCTTGCCTTGTTTATATTTCTCATCCATAGCATTGGACTTGAAAACTACACGTTGTATTAACTTTGCTTTAGTAGTTTGTATTAAGATTCAAACAACTAGAAAAACATGGTAGAAAATATGAAGTAACATGCTATAATGGTTTTTTACTTTAAAATTTTTGAAATTTTGTCTGGTTCTTTCCCACTAAGCCTAGAGATGGAGTTCTATGTGATGTTCTCTTCGTGCCTACCTTAAGGATAAGAAAGAGGGCAATCCCAGGTGTGGAGGCCGCTCTGTGATGTTCCTTTGGTGCCTAGAGTTTTCTACAAACATTTCAGATACCTTAGCTTGCCCAGGAGATGTTGCTCCATTTAAATAGTCTCACTTAAGGATTCCATAATTGAACTAGACATACACAACTTTGGACTACAGTAATTTCTGCAGAAGTCTGATTATAAATCAGAGCTACCCTGAGGGGGTGGCTGGGTCCATGTTGGTCTTCATTCAGTCAATATTTGGCGTGCATTAACATGAATAAGTTTGAAAGGTGTTTGCTTTTTTGTTTGCTCACTTGTCTAGAGGTTTGGATAATAAGTTCAAAATAGTGCAAATCACCCACATAACATTTGCAAGACAGAAATGAGTATTACTTATCAAAAAATTTCTTTCTCCAGGCATAGGAGTTTAAAGTATAAAGAACTAAGACAGATAATAAAGATAAACTAATATTGGAGATGTTTGGGACTGGAAAGCCCTTTGTGAATGGAAGCAGTTTTGAGACCAAAGCAAATAGGGTGACCTCACAGTTTCTGTGCTGAAACCTCTGTGGCTCAGTGGCTTGATCCACAATTTTAACACTTTCATTCCTCATTCCTGTAATTTAATTCTCATTCCTGGAATTTAGTTCTATATAAATTACCTGAATTATTCTTATTACATAAAATAAATCCATTGGGTAAGTTTTGAAGGGAACTCCAGGTAACATTTATTTCCTTTTCACTAGCAGAACAATTAAACTCCTCAGGCTTTTCTGGAACTGTTAAAACAAAAAGAATATGTAATGTGAAAAAGAAGACATGATGAAAATATTCTTTATATAACAAACCTGCATTATCAATACTCCTTTTTGATTAATTATGAGTTAATAACAAAGTTTAGAAAAAGACAGTTGAAATTATTAAATTAAATTTGCTTTAGAATACTGTATTTTAACAGAATGTACATCACTCTAGAGTAACATTGTGGAGCCTAAACACTTCTCTGACTTGAATATGCCGAGAATACCTGCTCCTCTCATTCATATTACTGTCCAGATATCTTGAGATTTCTAGGTGATGTGGTGCCAAAAATCTACCAATTGTAGCAGTGATGAATAGATTTTATTTGAGTAGTAGTTATTGCTTTCAGTAAGTAATTATTAGACACTGAAAAGAAGAGTGCCATCCATGTTTAAATAAAGTTTCTGAAGCAGTAATTGACATTAAAATGCACCCATTTAAGGTACAGGTTGGTGATCTGTGTGGGGTATATATCCATGTGACCACTACCACAATCAAGACAGGAACAATCCTGTCATTCCCCAATTACTCCTATGCCATTTCCCAGTTGATTCAGCTCCCTTGCCCAGCCCCACACTTCCTCTAATCCATATGTGTTAATTAAATTTGTCTTTTTATCGACTTCATATAAATGAAATTAAACAATAAGTAATATTTTACATCTATCATATTGCATTTAATGTAACACTGGATATTCATTCCTGTTGTTGCATATGTCAATAGCTATTTCATTCCTACTTATCAGTAGGCTATTGCTTGGATGTTGAATGTTCCCCAAGGTCCATGTGTTTAAAAGCCTTTGTCATCAGGTTGGTGCTCTTGGAAGATACTGGAACATGTGGGAGGAAAGGGTCTACTGTGGTCCTTTTGTCAGTGGGGTCTGCCCTCAAATAGGATAGAGGGATCCATTATTTTCTTCTATTTTTGTTTGAAAGTTAACATGGTGAAGAGTTTGTTCCATGGTATAATCTCCACCATTGCCATTTGGTGACCCACCAGAGGCCCAAAGCTATGTGGACCTCCAATCTTGGACTGGAACTTCCAGAACCATGATCTAAATAAGTGTTTTCACTTTATAAGTTTATTGGTTCAGACAATTGATTATGGCCAACTAATAGAAATAGTACTTCATTATAAAGGCCTGCCACATTGTATTTGCAATTCAACAGTTGATGGATATTTGAGTTGTTCCCTGTTTTGGGGGTACTAAGAATGAATCTACTTTGTCTTATAGAGGTATCCTTTCAACTTTGGTAAAAAATCTGGAGGAAAGTTACTGGGTTATTTCTTCACATCCTCACCAACAATGTTAGTTTTAGCCATTTTAGTGCATATATCATATCACTTTATCTTATTGCTTTGATTTACATTTCTCATCTCTGGCTAGTGGTGTTGAGCATCTTTTAATGTGCTTAAGAGTAGTTTGTATATCTTCTTTTGTGAAGTGCATATTCAAAATGTTTACTCAATTTTGAATTGGACTATTTGATGCCTTATTTTGTAGATGAACAGGCTCTACATATATTCCAGAAAATCAATTGTGGATATTTTCTCATGATCTATAGCTTGTTTTTATATTTCCATTAATCTTTTCAAAGAAGAGGAAAGTTCAGTTTTGATGAAGTCTAACATATCAATTGTTTTATGATTCTGCCTTTTCATTTACTAAGAAAGCTTTGCCTGCACTAGAAGCACAAAGTTTCTCTTTTATGTCTTTGATTAGACATTTTATAATCTTAGCTTTCAGATCTAAAAGCTATTTTGACCGAATTCTGTGTTTGTCAATGGAAAAGGGCTGGTGTTCGCTTTTTCTATGAGGATGTCAGGATGATTTATGGAAATTACTATCCCTCTCCTCTACTGAAATACTTTTGTGCTTTTAACAAATATAAATATTGATTATCTAGGATTTCAATTTTGTTACACTGATTTATAAAGGCTGTGTTTAATGTCCCCCAATATTATTTTTTTCTAGTTATGCTGACAGCATAGTTTCTATGTAGTCTTATTGATTCTTATTGTGGTTTGTAAGATTTTGGAAGATTATGGAGAAGTCTGGAATTAAGCATCCCCTTAGTCCTCAGTTTTTCCTTCCATTTGGGATTTAGAATCACTTAAGTGTACTTTCTCAAATATGCAATATTATAATTAATAAGTCAGTTGCACAAAGTGGCAAATGACAAGATCAATATAGAAAAATCAATTGCATTTCTATATACTAGTAATGAACAATCTAAAAATAAAATTAAGAAAACAATATTATTATGAGGAGGAATAGACATAAATTAGGGATAAATTTAACAAAAAGTACAAAATCTGAAAACTGAGAAATATTCTGGAAATAAATTAAAGAAGATCTAAATTAATGAGAAGACACTCCGTGTTCACGATGGACTGGAAGACTAACATAGTTATGTGACCATACTCCCCACATCAATCTATAGATTCAATGCAAGCCCTGTCAGAATCCAAGCTGGATTCTTTGCAGAAACTGAAAAGTTGATACTAAAATTCATGAGGAATTTCAAGGACCTCTTTCTATATGCTAAATAATCTGGAAGAAGAAGAATGAATTGAAATGACTCATACCTTCCAATTTCAAGACTTACAAAGCCACAGTTATGAATAGTCTAGTGCTGTCATCAAAAAAAGAATGTAAAGCAGTGAGGTGAAACTGAAAGTCTAGAAACCCTATCATAAAGTTCAATTAAATTTTGACAAGAGTGGCAAGACCATTCCATGGGGGAAAAGAAATGTATGCTTAACAAATGGTGTTAGGACAACTGGATTGTCCTATGCTAAACAGTGAAATTGGACCCTTACCTCACACCACCTGTAAAATTTATATAGCTAAATTTAAAAGCTAAATCCATAAAATTCTTAGAAGAAAATGTGGAAATCAATCTTCATGACCTTGAATTTTACAATAGGTTTTAGAAATGATATCAAAAATATGGGCAACAAAATTAGAGATAGCTACAGTGGACTTCATCAAATTTAAAACATTAAGTTCTTCAAAATCTATGAAGAGAGTACAAAGACTACTCCCAGAATGGAAGGATACATTCTTAAATCACGTATGTGACAAAGGACTTGTGTCCAAGCTATATAAAGAACTTTTCCAACTCAGCTAAAAATAGTCAAAAGAATTGAATAAATAAAAGACATATGAAGGCCAAAAACACCTGGAGGCATGCCATCATTAGAAAATGCAACTACAACCACAGTGATTTACTATTTTGCATATGTTAGCACAGCTAAAATTAAAAATATAGATAATAATGAGTGTTGAAAAAGATGTGGAGAAACTGGCACCCTTATAAACTTGCTGAGGAGAATGCAAAAATTGTGCATCCAATTTAGAAAACAGATTGGTACTTCTTCAAAAGACAGAGCATAAAGTTGCCACGTGACTCAAAATTTACAGTCCCAGGGATATTCCCATGAGGAATGATGACATTTCCACACAGTCACTTGTATAGGAATGCTCATAATACCATTATTAATAAAAGTCAAAAACATAACAACTTAAATGTAACTCAACTGATGAAACAACAAACAAATTAAGGCATATATCTCTATAAAAGAAGAATAAATCAGTAATAAAATCAAGAATTGATATATGCTACAATACAGATGCTCCTCGAAAACATTATGCTATGTAAAAGAAGCCAGTGATAAAAAGATATTTTTTTATCATTTTTTATGATTCCATTGCATGGAAGGGCAGAACAGACAAATTCATCCCAACAGAAAGGAGAGGAACTACTGGTTCCTCTAAGGTTTCTTTTTGTTGTGATGAAAATTATCTAAAATTGATTCTAAATCACTTTGGACTATATTAAAAACTGCTGAACTGTATGCTTTAAATGAGTGAATCATATGGTATGAGACTCAACAATAAAGTGAAAAAAAAGTCTTGCCTTACAAAACTTCCCCTCTTTCCTGAGTGAAATAACATGTAAAATAATTAAATTGCTCAAATTTTTAAGGCTAAAGGATTCCTATATTACTGGGATAAATCTTATTCAATTATGTTATGTTATTTTTAACCCACTTTGCTAGTATTTCATTTGCTAATTAGCTTCTATCTGCTTAGAAAAGGCAGGCCTGTAGCTACTTACTCTTTAGCCAAGTTTCCTATCAAAATGATATTAACTCTAGGCCTATTTCTGATCCTAAGAAATATCAAAATGAGTTGATAGGTTTCCATGTCTTCTAAATTGTGGAATGGTTTGGGTAACGATTATCTGTTCTTCAAATATTTAGCTAACTTGTCTGTAAAGCTATCTTTTTATTTTTATTGCTTTTCTAGGTAAGGGGATTGAAACTTGAGCCTTGACTTGCTAAGCAGGAGCTCCAGATTGTGCCACAAACCTAGCTCTTGTAAAGCTTCAGGTTTCTACACAGGCAGGGAAGAGAACAGATGAGTAGAGAGATAAGTAGGTACAGCTTTAATTCTAATTTCCTAGGTAAATACTCATAATTCAGAGCCATTAGAAAATCATACATTTTATCAAGCTTTTCAAATTGGAAGTAAAGGTGTTTTATGAGCTGTAGAATTTCTATTTTTTCTTTATTTTTCACTTACTCAACATGGAAAAGGTTATTCTAATAGATGCCTGCATATTTTATTATTCTTTTCAGAAGTCATTCTTTACATGTGTTAATAAGTTCTTATTCATTTTATTTATTCCTTCATTCAATAAGGTATGCTCTAAACTTTATTTTCTCCTATCTTTGCATTTCATTTATTTTGCACTTTCCACTAACTTTCCTTCAATAAAAATTCCCTCCAAATGTCACTATATAATGATATACGTATTATTTTCTACTTAGCATTCCCCCTCCCTCTTTTTCTCTTCCTCCATCCTCTTTTTCTTCCTTCTCGCTTCATCTCTTCTGCTGCTTGAAGTCAATGACATCTCTTGGTTATTCACAAATTACCATACATATAATTAACATATTTTCTAGCAAATTCAGAATTGAATTGGAATCTTCATACTTCTAAATGACACTGGAATTTTAGCATTTTTCATTTCTTTCTCTCTTCCATCTTCCAACTTTTTGGAATTTTATTTTTCATTATTATTAAGTTATGTACTTATATTGATGACAATTTAATAATAACATTACTTTTTCCAATTAATATTTAATTTGCCATTGTGTTTTATTAGCTTCTTTGCTTGTATTATTTCTATCAGGGACAGAGTATAGAGAGGAGGGTGCAGGAACACACACAGAAGAGAATCCTGTCATACACACAAGGGGGAATGAAATGAAAATCAGAGAACAAAGCATTGTATTTATTTCTCTTGTTCCCAACATGATCTTAACAGACTACAACTATGATTTGAACAAAATGGGGAGAAGCTTGAGTCTTGTAAATTCAACTTTAAAAGCTGACTAAAAAATTTTGTTTGAAATTCTATCTGTAAATCTCTATCGTTCACTTTCTGTGATTCTGAAAAAAATCTATAAGCACCTGGAAAGGAAAGCAATTTCAGATATAAATATAAGTAACATACTCACTCCCAAAATCTGTTTCAACAAGTTTGCTCTTATTGATGTACTCTTGGCCTTCATAGAATACTTCTGAATAACAGCTATAATTATGTTTGGGAAGAAGGCCTGTTAATTGAATGAAGTCCATATCAGATGGTGTTGTCTTTGAATTATCTGAAAGAAATAAATGTTGCATATGAGTACAGTAAATAATATATTAAATATATCTTTCTTTTCTTATTCAATATTTATAGTATTATATCATCAGATTAAAACCTAGTAAATAGTCTAAATAAAAAAATTTTTTTTGGTGGGATCTGGGTTTGAACACAGGGCTACACACTTACAAAGCAGGTGTTCTACCACTTAAGCCACACCTCCAGTCCATTTTGCTATTTTTTTTTTTAAGAAATGGAGTCTCTTTAAAAAAAAAGAAAACGAAAAAGAGAAAGAGAAAGAAAAAGGAAAAGAAAAAGAAATGGAGTCCCGTGAACCATTTGCCCATGCTAACCTTAAACCATGATTCACCCAATCTCAGCCTCCCTCATAGCTAGGATTACAGACGTGAGCCATTGTGTCTGGCAGCAAGTGTACTTAATTGGAGAGTGTTCCTAACTTGACAGAATGAAACATTGGCTCAATATTTTCTTTTCAGATACTGAGATTACAATTTAGACCTTACCTAAAACATATTTTCTAGATAGATCATTTTTAAGTTGCCAGTACGTCATGTGTTTACTTTTACTTTCCTCATGCTGCTTGCAGACTAGCCATTCACCTTGCCCTTAACATGGCAATTACAAATGATGGCACTTTCCATCCTCTTGTATGTGTGCATGTGTCTGTGTGCATGTATGAGTATGTGTGTGTACATGTCTGTCTTTCAAAAGATGGCCTGGAAAATGTCTTTATGCCAAGGGCTATGAGAGTACATCTCTTTAGTTCAAATATACTTTAAAAAATGCTATTTCACTTGTTGGTCCTCTCAATGCAAACCCAAATTCATTCCTAGAAATACTTGCTGTTTTCCTGTTATCTACATGTTCTTGAAATTGTGCATGAATTTTGTTGATGGAAGCCATATATAATCTTATATTTCTAATAGAGTATATGTATCATTCTTTAACAACACCCTTCTCTTACAGTCTCTTCAGTAATACCTGGTATGTAGCAATTGTCAAAAAATTCTTTAATTAACTTTTATTTTTTCAATTTTACTTCTCAGGGTATTTATCTATTTTGTGAATTTGTTTCAGTGATATTGATAATACAATTATTTGACTCCAAATTTACAACAGATTCAAAAACAGAAAGAAAAAGTTAGAGGCAAAGAGAGAAAAGTTAAACAATATCTAGAAAAAAATTCCCTGATCAATGTTATATTCTTACCACCACAGTGAAATGTGTATGTAAAGTTTGTCATTTTACAAGTAAAGCTTTCTTCTTTTCTCCACATTAGACAAATGGAAGTACTTGCTATTTCATCTGGTGTGCAATCAACTAACTGGAACTTTTCCTTCTCTGTCAAGAAAACACAGAAATAGGGAATGTGATTAATATGCATCATTTCTCAACTAAAGTTACTGAAATTACACTCATACATAGAATTTGGCAAGTATTGAGACCTCTTTTGAAAAAGTCTAGTAGCCCTTGGGGCTGGTGTTTATTGATTATTTAGTTCAGTTTTATTATTCGTTTTCCTAACACATGATTGTACAAACCTGTGGTGTGCAACCTGGTGTTTCAATGCATATAGACTTTATGTGAGGATCAGTCCAGGGTGGTCATATATCTTTCATTTAGAAGACTGATCCAAAAGATAAACACATATACAAAACAAACATGATCATACACTAACTCATACCTATAACTTGTTTGTAATAGTGGAATCTGTGGAATTTGGGGAAGCAATCAAAGGAGAACATCTGTGAAGGTAGAGGATATAAGCACATGTATTGGAAGCTGTTGAAAAACGAGGTGGGTGGGAGGTAAAAGGGTAAAGGAGAATAAAGGGAGGGATTGAATGGGCCAAAGTAAAGTAGACTCACGGTGAACATACATTGAGAAACCCCTTTTACATTGATTTAAACATAAATAATGGAAGACAGGATTGTAAAATAGGTACAATGTATGTGTGTGGGGGGGTACTTGTTGCAGGGGGAATGGAGAAGATTAAGGTGAAGGAATATGGTTAATGAACTTCATATATTTATATGAAATAGATCAAAGAAACCTCTTGCAATAGTTTTAAGTGTGGCGGGGAGGGGATTGAGGGGGAGAGACAGTGGGAGTAACCAATGTACAATATAAGCCTGTTTGGAATTGTCACGATGAATCCCACAATACAACAAATATACACTAATTAAAAAATGTAATGAAAGAAAGAAGATTCACATTCATTACAGAGAACACTTTATTATTTTAACACTATGCACTTCAATAGTGTTTCATTTAGAATGTATGCTACCTTTATAAATGACACTCAGCTAGATAAAAGAGAAATTTTTCACATTTAGGACCATTCCATTTTGTTTTCTTATATATATGTTCATTTTTTGCTAATTCTTATTTTAAATTAAATGATTAGCAATCTCCCTCTTGGAAAAAGCATTTTAAAAGATAATGTCATCTTATGTTTTCAAGTGACGACTTATCTCAGTAGTATTTAGGAAAAATGAATAAATTAAACAGATATGTTTCAAAACACAACAGATTTTAACGTAATTAGATGTCAACAAATTCCCAAATAACCTTGAATTATCAAATGATGTGAGCTATTTTAAACAATCACACAGACTCTGAATCCCTTTTTCAAAATGTATTTTGCTAGATGCTACCTCAAATGCTTTTGTCCCTGGGCAGAGGCAGTTAATACCTTCAGTCCCTTCTCTTTCCCAACAGTGGCTGAGTTGGCAAAACCAGCTAGATCTTTTGTTTGTTTGTTTGTTTTATTATTCATATGTGCACACAAGGCTTGGGTCATTTCTCTCCCCTGCTCCCACCCCCTCCCTTACCACCCACTCCACCCCCTCCCCCTCCCCACCACCCCCTCAATACCCAGCAGGAACTATTTTGCCCTTATCTCTAATTTTGTTGAAGAGAGTATAGGCAATAATAGGAAGGAACAAGTGTTATCAGGGCCAGCTAGATCTTAATGTGACTGTAAATCCTCCATTTTGGCAAAAGTGTTTTAGTTCTTTCCAAAAACATCAAGGACAAATAGCTATATATATATATATATATATATATATATATTCTCCATTTATATATATGTGTAAAAACATGCACATGTATATTATATAAATTACATGTATAACATGTATAAGTACATGTAAAATATATATATACATAGTCATTTGTCCTTTTAGATGTATAACTATATGTAATAACATAAAAATATTATATAATATATTAGACAATATATATACATATGCTATATATTATATATGTAGTATGTACTATTTATGTAGAACTAAATAGAAGAGAAAAAGATGAAGCTTCTATTTAATCACTCTGTAAAATGTTAGACCTGCTCTACATGAACCTCTTTGAAAAATAAAGAGACTAAAAAGATAGAAAGAGAAGGCTTATGTTGCTTCATAACTTTTACTAGTTAAGGAGAGCAGAACAGTCACCCAACTGCTGACCCTCCACACACACTCTTCTCTTAAGAGCTTCTGAACCACTAGCACACACACATGGAACTGTACTGATTCTGAAATAGAAGTAGAAATAAATTTATATTTACCTGGTGGTACATGTAATTCTAAAATTTTAGGTGGCTCACAAGAAGGGTGAGATACATTAATAGATTTTGTTGAGCATTCATTTAGTCCTTGTAGCATGCTGGTACAATCTGTAGTTTGACATGGCTCCTCTCCATGATAATCTAGCTTTACATCATATAATTTAGACTTATTGTCATATATGTACTTCACAGAGATCATGTTATATTTTTCCTCTGAAAGATAACAAAAGTGAGGATTATCCTTTATATGGAATGATTAAAACTGTATTAATGAGAAATGTCTTAACATACTTTTTAAATGTCAAATCACTAAAAAAAAAACCCCAAGGACATGAATGATGGAAGTATATTAGATGCCTCCATGTCATTCATTCATAGTTTTCTTTCTTATTGAGGATCCCCATTTGTGCATTTCTATTCTGATGGTTATTGGGCTCGTGTTTGTCTTCCTAAGTGGATTACACATTCCATGACCACCAAGTCCACTCTGTTTTGAGCGTTATTATAAATTCAGATCCATTCATAGCAGTACTATTAGTGAGAGCCCAAGAGTTATTTTTTGAATCAATTCCCAAATGAATCATACATCTGACAAATTTCCTTTTCTTGCTTTCCCGTGTGTTTTAAAATGTAGGTTGAAGTTGCCCATTTCTCCAAATATCTGGTACATTAATTATTCAGAGACCATAGGCCTTCTTTCAATCCTTTACTTATATAAAATTATTATTCATGACAATAAACTATTCCTAAACACCTTCGTTTAGTGTCAACAATGTCTACAGGCTGGTAAAAATATCTTTTTCAACAACTATTAATTTATTCACCTACTTTTATTTTACAAATCTTGAAGCCCTTCGTTAGGTTTAGCACACTGTCTGTCTCAAACACTAGAAAAACAAAACCAAGTCAAGTATAATCAGCTCTTAGAAACTCACCACATCTTTTCTTAGGTACAGCAGCAACTGTAAGAGAAAAATGAGACAAATTAATTAAAATTTTGCTTTAGAATATTTACGCTATACTCATTTGGGGTAAATTCTATCTAGTTAGGCTTAACATGTAATGCGATTTGCTCAGTACCATGATTTTTAGTATTTTTTATTAGCATAAATTAATAGTACAGGGAGGTTCTCTGTGATAATTCATATAAACATGCAAACTACTTTGAACAACTTTACCCACTTATTATTTTTTTTAACCCCCGTCTCCTCCCTCTTTTTTTTGGTATTTGATAGGTTTTATTATCTGATACCTTACTGCCATGTTTTGGTCTTTAAACTACAAATGCTATAATGAGTTAGTTCTACAAAAACATCTTCCAACAAACACAATTGTGATAATAATATTAAGACTTTTTGGTATATATCTTTGATAGTGACATTGTGGCTGAAGAGCCACATTGCCAAAAATGTAATCTTTCTCCTCTCTACTAATTTCCAACTGGATTTTTACAACTATAACCCCTTCAGAGTGAAGTTTATACTTTTTAAGGGAAAAATAGGTAAGGGTAACTTTGCTGTCTAGTTTTACTTTGGCTCTTCACACATACACTAGGTTCATGGTAATAAATTTCTCTCTCAACACACTGGGTCGTGTCTTTTCTGAAGGATTATGAGGAAATGCGGTCTGTGGAGAAGGGATTTCTACTGATCTTCTCTGAGTGTTGGAGAAGTTGGGGAGAATGTGGAGCTGGCAGGTTCTGCCATGACTGACCCACAGATACCACCACTGCTGCAGCCCTTCCTGGGAGCACTTTCTTTTCCTTTATGCCCCTCATTGCCACACTGAAGGTGCGACCTCCCTCTGTTACCCATCACTGGAAAGGAGGGCTCCTTACAGAGAGTTACTCTTTTCCACACTAACACCTAAACCTGCTCTTAAGGAAAGAAGTTCTAATAGACTTGGCTATTTCTCACACATCTTCATAAAACACCCAACTCCTGCAGGATACGACTGCCAAAGTATGGTGATCAACACAGTAACATATCCTGGAGGCATTAGTTGTAGCACTGCTAAATAGGGAAATATCTAACTGCTGTTTCATGGCCCTTAAGATTAGAGAAATGGATGCAACTTCTCAAAGAAAGCAGCCCTGGCTAGAGCAGGTAGAAGCCCCTGTGAGCACATCCCAGCACAGGTGGCCTGTGAATGCATGACTGAGGGTAAGGTTGTCACCTATTGTTGTGATTGGAGTGACAGTGTCTGTTGTAGAGCTCTGATTGGATGGTGCAATGGATATAAGGTTGGAATCTGCAAAGAAATGAACAGAAGAATACAAGTTAATGAGCTTGCCATATGGAGGGGCAGTGGAAATACTGTAGCACAGGTAATTGCCTAATTGGATCTTCACTCAAAGGATACTTGTTAGAATTGATGCTTCCTTATTTTAAAAATAATAAACTGAACCGGAGATTTATCTACAACTAGCCCTTTCAGACAATTACTATTTTAAATTCGAATTTAGTATCATACAAGTTAAAGGAAAACTCTTCACTCCCTTTTAAATTTCTTACCTGATAAGCAGTCTTCCTCAAACCATTCATTTCCCTTTGAATTACGGCCTTCCTAACTTAGGATACTAATCAGGGCACTGGACTGTTTTGTAATATCCATCGTATACCAGACTTTGTGCATGTTCAGTCCTTACATCAAGCTTACTAAATGAGCATTTTTACATTCATTTTTTCAGAAGAGAGAATTGATACTCAGGTCTAGTAACTTGTAAAATCAACTAGAAAATGAAGCTAAACTTGATCCCAGAGGTATATGGCATTAATATAACCCATCCTTCTTGCCATGAAGTTTAAAATGTTAATAGAAAATAAATTTTGATCAGGAATAGCTTTCCTGATAAGTTTCTTTTTGTCAAATTTAGTATCAAGATGTGAAGGGTTGTAAAATGAGAAAACAGCAAATAGTATTTGAAGTAAAACAAGCCAGGCATGGTGGTTCATGCCTGTAACTCCAGCTATCCAGAAAGTGGAGGTAGGAGGATTATGGTCCGAGGCCAGCCCCAGCTAAAATATCTGAAAAACAAATTCCAGCAGCAAAGGATGGGTGATATAGCTCAAGTACAAGATTCTGAGTTAGAATCCCAGAATCACCACCTAGAGACATATATACAGTGTAAAAGAATAGAGCTGCATTCAAGTTTTGAGCTTCCATGTCCTGGAGCATCTGTTGACTGCTGGGCAGACCTGAGGAATTATCTGCAGTGCTGATGGTGGAGGTGCGTGCAGGTAAGGCAGCAGAGCTGTTGTGTGTAGGGCTGAGGGAGGTTGTTGAGCTGAAGGCTGTGTCTGCAGGAAAGGTGGTGGCTGGACTCCTCTCTCCTGGGACACCTGAAATCAGAAGGGCCACCAGCACTGTCACTCCATCCTGCCACACAAGGCAGTGACCAGATGACCAACATAAAACTGATTATTAAAGCTGAAGAAGAGCAAGAAGCAACCCAGCATATCTGCTAGACCATAATGTATGCATTTGGCAAAACTCCTAAAAATACCAGGGCTTATGGGAAACATGGATTTATGGGCAAATAACTGGAAACCTGTGCAGCTTTTTTATCCAACAACACATTAAAAAAAAACTAGTAGGGACCTAGAGAAATAGCTTGGACAGCCCAAGGAGTCCAAGCCTCCTGGCTGAGGGCTGCCTGAGGCAATATTAAAAATACATCAGAAGAGAGAGAAGGATGTTGTTTTGGTGGCACTGAAACCGTGGAGCTCTGAGTATAAAAGGTCTAGAAGGAAGTAGCACCTTGCTTACTGAGAGCCTATAGGGCAACTCCCTGGGGTGGTATCCCTGTGTGCAAGTGCTCAGTTTTAATTTTCTTAAAATAGAGCGCAATGCTGCCTTGCAGTACCTGAGCTCAGAGTTCTTTTCTTTCTGGCTAAAGGTTACTTTCATTATATATGTTCCCTTATCAGGAAAAAAAAAATCAAACTGGTTTGGAACCCACAAACTTCACATTATGCTGCCATTATTTCCCTTATTTTCTAATCATACATGAATTAATTGATGTAGAATCTAGTGTTGGAGCTGAGAAAGCTGCACATTGAATTTGGGTAAGTTTTTTTTTTTATGTCAAGCTTCAAAGCATGTAATGAATGCTATGTCAGCCCCCAGACATCATACCCAGAATTACAGCACGGGTAATTCGTGTATATTCGTTGGGTGGGTCCCTACCAGATGACTAGCACGATGACAGTTGCCATGGAAAAAGCAAAAGAATTATGAGCTGGCCCCTACTCTAGAGCCTGTTGGGTGGTTTCACTGTCAAGACCCCTGGTGTCACCAGGTCAGTGGTAAGGACGTCTTCCATGTGCAGTCAGGTTCTGTGTTACCTCAGTGACACATGCATGCTGTCCAGATGCCTTTGACGTGAGTATGCAGGCATTTCCCAATTGCAGATGGATTGAGTCCAGAATTTAACATATTCTTGCTTTTGAATTGGAACACACTTCCTTCCCAACCGTGCTTGAGTGGTCAACTCGCCTTCCACCCAAATTTATTAAACACCCAAATTTAACTAAGCCCCAAAATAGCAGGAGGAAAGTAAGCATCAGTTCGTCAGCTCTCCCTCCCAAGCCTCACCTCAGCCCCATGCTGTCCTGAGCCCCCCTTCCCGCCCCCCACCCGCTCTCACCTCTCCAGATTCTCTGTCTTCCCTCTTCATTAGAAAGCTACCTTTCCCATGTCAAGGAGGTAAGCTCAGCCAGAGTTTAAGAGGGGGTATTTACAATTTTAATTAGGTGGATTAATTTTAATAGATCTTTAATTAGTGGAATCAGCCACTGTGTCATGAAGAATTCTTGGGTCAGAGGAGAGCAGACTAGATTGTATGACAACTATCCCCCAGGAGTCAGTCCTCCTTGATTATTTTACAGCTTCTTTCCATTCACAACTTCTGAATCTATGGATTTGCTAAAAGCACCAAATCTCCTTCCTATGGTTCCAGTGGTAGGTGGCAGGTGGCCAGAGGAGAGAGTAGCTCTTCTTCTAGCTGTTTAAATGTATGGATTGCCTGTAATGATTTTCAAGCCAAGAGAAAGGCACCAGTACATCACCATAATAATTATCCTATTTGATGTGCTTGATTTGCCTGTTTGATTCAAACCTAAAGCAAGACCACTTTCCGCCTCCCATGGGGCCTCCCACTTACATCTTTTACTCCTGAGTGCTCAGCTCACTGAATTTATATATGTAATTTTGTAGACTAAAGACCTGAGAAAGGACAAACTTGTTTTTCCTGCATAGACAGTGCCCAGGAAATGACTTTGACATTGATTTTGGAAAGACAAGGAGAGAATATTTTACATTATTGTTAGAAGAACAGAGATACTGAATGAGGATTGTGATGTCTGAAAGGGCAATATGAGTATCTGCTTTTTTTTTGTCTCATTCCTTAAGTGACAATTTCATTGTGTTCTAGATCTTTCAGTGTTGTTCCCTGATTGTAAGGACTCGCTTCTTCTTGACTGGTGTTTGCTGGTTCCATGTCTTAGGATAAAGATTCATACAAAGTACTTTTTATTACTAACAAGAAGAAGTTTTTACTTTTCAATAGTAGCTGCCAAAAATATAAAGAAATATGTGGTATCCTGAATAACTGCTTCCTTGTGAGCATGCTGTAGGTTCAATTCTCATTATTTTTTTGCTGTCTGTTAGAACCATCGTAATGGTAAGGGTACCTATGAAATTTCAAACTTATCAACTCCCACATGCTACACATCGAACTAGTGACTGAATTTCCCCCTGCCATTCTTAAACACAGGCAACTGTCACGGACTCTGGTATTTGCAGAAATCTAAAGGTCCCCAAACCTGATGCATCAGGCATGAGTGCAGTAAGGTCAGCCTTGACGCTGAGTGTCTGAGTGTCAGCTCCTCCGGCAGGGGTCGGCTGTGTGGATGTGACACCTGGGTAAGAAAGTGAGATGGTTACACCAAACGTTCTCTGCTGCAGATGATATGTATGAACTAAGACTTAAAAAGGAGCAAATTGCTATTACAGTTTGCCAAACTGTGAAATGACCCACTCTATTAAGATATTCAAGTTCGGGAACCAGGCAGCACCTGGGTTCCTAGTTTGCAAATTCCTCTGACCTCCCTGGGCTGCACACAGCCTCAGAGGATACGCATTTTCCAGTCTGATTCTTGACTTCCAAATCACTGTAAGCTTTTTGAATTCACCATTAACTCTACAAACTATAAGTTGGGACACTTCTTTGTAGACAGAATAAGAAAGAAATCCTTCAATGTACTAATATCTCTTACAGATCATGAAGAAGAAATAGAAAAATGGATAAGTGGCCTGGCACAGTGCCTCATGACTGTAATTCCAGCCACTCCAGAGGCAGAGGCAGAGATCAGGAGGATTGCCACTCAAAACCTGCCTGGGCAAGAAGTTAGTGAGAACCCATTTCAACAGACAAGCAAGGCATGATGATTCACAGCCGTAATCCTACTATGCAGGAGACATGGGTAAGAGGATCAGGATCTGAGGCCAGGCAGTGAAAACAGGAGGCCCAACCTGAAAAAGTACTAAAACCAAAAAGTGTGGAGGCATCGTAGAGCACCTGCCTACCAAATAGCAAGACCCTGAATTCAAACCCTGGTAGCACAAAAAGGGAAAAAAGACAAGCAATGTAGCAGACATCTAACAAATATATACAATGGCAGAAAAGTATATGAAAAGAGTCATTATGGAAAGTTACAGACATGCAAATCAATGTGAGGTATTTTTAGCTACCACACTGGCAGTTTTAACAGATTAATAATATCTAGCGTTAGGGAAAGTATGGAAACAGTCATGTGTGTGTACACACTCATGCTCACACTCAGTCACAGAGTCATACGCCAAGGGCCTTGAGACAGACAATAGTGGTTAAAGTTGTATATTTGAGGAAGAGGACTTGAAAATATAGTGCTTTCATTGTGTGTGTAAAGTGAATATCAAGTATATGTTTATGTGTGTATATATACAGACAATAAATACTTCTACATAAAAATCCTTTGCTACATACAAACACTTTTGTAAAAATAATGCTCAGTGCTTAAGTTTGGTTTTATACATGTAGACTCTTAATATAATCATTAAAAAAAATAAGAACAGCCTTGAAAGGTATATATCTTTAAAAAAGCAAAAGCAAGGATTTTCCCCTAAGTATATCAGTAAGCAACATAACCCTAAATTAACTAACACACGTAGGTGTCCAGGCAGGCTATGGGAATATCACTTGATAGCAA